CTCCCCTTCGCCGTCGCCGCCGGCCCTGCTGGCCGCGCTGGTGCCCGCCGCCGGCCCCGGGGCGCCGAGCGGCGGCGATGGCGGGCGGCGGCTGCAGAAGTCGCCCTCCGTGTCTTCCTCGTCCTCCTCGTGCTCCTCGCTGGAGTCTGGCACCGAGAGCCCCGGCTTCTCCTCCTCCTCGGGCTCCGGCAGCGGCGGCTCCTCCTCCTCCTCGTCCTCCTCCTCGTGCGGCCCGCGGGCGGCGGCCCCCGCGGGGCTGCTGGGCAGCGGAGCCGCCCCCGGCGACTTCTTCAACTTCCACGAGAGCGCGGTGAGCAGCGTGGCCGGGCAGCGGGCGCCGCCCGCGGCGCGCAGCGCCCTCCCGCCGCCGCCCGCCTCCCCCCAGCAGCACCAGTACCACCCGGGCCGCAGGAAACGCGAGAACAAGGCGAGCACCTACGGCATGAACTACCTGCTGTCCGGCAGCCGCGGCCTCGGCGGCTCCAGCTCCCCGCACCAGCAGCGGCAGCCGCCGCAGCCGGCGCTGCAGAGCCCCGGCACACCCTGGAAGACGAGGAAATACAGCGCGGGCGTGCAGGGGTGAGCAGCGGGGCCGGGGTGCGCGCGGGCTGCCCGGCCACCCCCCTGCATCCGCCTGGATCCCCCCTGGAGCCCTCGGGCTGCCGGCCTGGGCCTGCACCTCTCCCGGAGGTGAAGATATCAGGAGGCTGCCGGGAGTGCTCCAAGTTAAAGCAGGGATGCTGCCCTGCAGAGCTCCAGGGAGCCCAGTCGCGTGGCAGGAGCAGGGGGGTAGTAGGGGGGATTCCTTCCAGAGCAACTTGGAGGAAAAGCTTGTGTTCGTTTCGAAGTATCTGTGCGCTGTCTGTGGCAGGCTGGTGGCTTCAAAGCATCTTAAGAACATTGATTTTTAAGTGCCTGGTCCTAGAGCTGAAATAAATGTGACAGCCAGTGTGATTGTCGTTGTAGTTTTTCAGGGGAAACACTTTAGCACTGGAGAGGATCAGGCTGACCAATGTCTCAACTGAAGTCTTTGCTTTCTAGAGAATAAATGCACGTCTTTATGAAGGCTGCCCTGTGCCATGGTTGTCACTTTCTCATATGAATGGACAGCTGCTAAGGCTAAAAGAGATGATTCTGTCTGGTCTGATTTGTGTGCAGCAAAGTTGTAGGTCTTGGAGGACTTATGGGGTGCTCAGAGAGGTTTCTTCATTTCATATGGCCAAACTTTATCCAGTCAAGAGGAAATAATGCTTTCTAGCTTTAAAATAATTTTATTAACACAAAATGTGCTTAGTTGCATTGGCTGAAGATTATTGATGGTATTTGATAGTTTCTTGGAGCTCCTAAAATCCTGAGCTCTGTTAGGTACCTAAGAGTAAGGGCAATTCATATTTCTGGAAGGAAATAGGTAGGAATAATAGGATACAGGGAACAATTTTACAGGCAGATAAATTTAGGTGGGACTGGAAATAAGGATTGAAGAAAAATCCTACATAAGAAAGTTTGAGCAAAATCATTAGGCATTGAGTGCATTAAATTTATCAAGAAGTATTAAAAATGTATTTTTTTTTTTTTTTGAAAAACAACCAAGGCATTTGTGCCTTTTTTAATCGTAAATTGATACAGAGAGCAAGCTATTTGCAGGATGTTAAGATGAACACTTCGTATGTTAGGGTTTTGTGTGCTATACTAAGTTGTTGCTCTGAAATTATGATAGTGTCATAAGAAGAGGCAAAGGTTTTTTGGTACCGTTTTCCTACTAATGCAGTACAATGCTTAGTTAACACTTGAGCTTATCCATGTAAAACAAGTCACTATCACAAAGCCAATTCTCCAGGCAAAGGCATGAGGGAATTGCCTGAGGTCACAAAGTTGGTCCATGGCAAGTCAGGGAGCTGAATGCAAACACTGCAGATTCAGTCCTCTAGCTTTGGGTAGCCCTATCTGTCATGCCAGTCACATACCCTTCTCGTCTCTTGTCTTCTGCCCTCTTGTTTCTACTTGGATTTCCTTTAATAGAAGCTACAAAACTTTGCAAGTATAAAAATTTAAAATGTGTGTATACAACAAATTCATTTGGTCAAGCTTCAGCTGTGCAGTTTGGTACAGCTGTGCTAGCCTGGTACAGGTTAGTCTTGCGGCTGAATTAATGACAAGCTCTCTGCTAAGGATCTGTGGTAGTGGAAGCTCTGCTGTTTCCTGGCCCTCTGGTAATGATCTGTGTTAGTGCAGGAAGACCTGATGCTAGAGGTGGGATGTTATGACAGATACGTACAGCATATGTGAGCCTCGTAGTTCCAGATTCTTGGGATTAATTTGCCAAATCATTAAGTTCCGCCAAACTCTTAATGCTAAGGTTTCAACTGTGTCCAGTTTCAGCATGCAGCTAGTGCTAGAGGACAGCATGTAAGTTGAGACTATAGACTTAGGAAGCAGTTTCTGCTTTAATTTTTTTTACCCAAGGTAAATCTTGAAGAAACACATCTCTAAAAATAATTTTCTGCTTCATTTTAAAATTGTTTTGTAAAATACTTGGTGTCTGAAATAATATAAAAGTACTCTCACTGATGGAGTAGCTTTAGGTGTCTACTTTCTGTAATAATTACTGGAGTTTGATAATACGTATTTTTTTTCCTCTCTCTGCTTTTGGTTCTTGAAGTTAGGCTGATGCATCATCTGGCTGCTCAGCTGAAAATGCACTGGAAAGACTGAGGCAGGAACAGATCCATACAGACTCTTTTCCAGGGTCGTATGTTGTTAACGTTCTTGACTTGTCATCTAGTGTTAGTTGCAATTGCCTGTGTTTGAGGCATCGCTTCAACAACTAGAGCGGCTGCCAGGCTGTGGCAGTGCCTCTGCTGAGCCTGGGTGCTTTGCACTTCTCTGTTCTCTTTGCCTCTCTCGTTCGGAGTCTGAGGTGCTCTGTAGTTACCACTCGTTACAGGTGGTGCTTGTGGTTGTATGCTTGTGTGGTTTATTTATTTGTTTATCTTCCCCTCAGATGGACCATAACCAGTGGCTTGGGGTGGTAGGTGTTTTGATCTTTAAGAATATCAAGGCTGTGCTTTGCTGTCTTTCTCATATGCTTTTGTACAGCATTTTTTTTTCCCCGGTGGACTCGTATTTATTATTTTTGCTACCATTTGAAAGTGGCATATGGATCTTTATATTTTAAAGGAAATAAAATCTGCCTCTCGTAGAAGACAGTAGCTATATTTGGTTAGTCTTTACCCTAAAGCTATTCTCTAGCCAGCTGTTAGTGACCTGTATATTTTATTTTTCTGAGATGTTTAGGAAACACAGAATGAAAAGGAGGGGGGAAGCGTTATTTGTTCTAGTGCTCTGATTGATGTAGCAATAGCATGAATATCTGTGTCTGGCTGAGCAAGAAGACACAGTGTAAAAGATGGATAGTGTTTTTGGATGCAAGGCAGATAAGGGTCTCATAGTATTATTAGATTAACTCATGATTGCAGCTGTGCAGAACTACATGTGATTTCTTGCTAGTGTACATTATACTCTTTAAGATGTTGTGAACTTCATCTAGAACATTAAGGTCCTGCTGCTTAGTGTATTAAAGCACATGAGAGTTATTCTTATTTCTGTAATCTCTGCAACTTAAATATGTTGAATAATTTTAGCACCTAAAGAGTTTGCAAGTGTTGGATAAGGTTGTTTCAAGATTTCAAGATTTTCAGACTTGCTGTTCCAAACTTCTTACACAGCTGAGGTTTCGTCAACAGGAAGATGGCAATTTTCTTTTAAGATGTAATCATTTGCTTGAGTAGAATAGTATCTGAGTTAATTCTTTTCCTTTTTAATATGAATTTAACCAAGTGAATTAGAATTAAGGTATTTTTAACAGCATGAGCTTATCCTGCTTAATACTTTAAGTATTCAAAGCCACTGTTTCTTCACTAATCTCATTAGTTGCATACAACTGGCATTTCTACTTGGTGCAAACAGGTTTGCCAGTGCAGAAGCAATAGAACAGGCTCGTGTCGGGTTAGTGTGGACAGCAGAAGCACTGGGATAGATGGAAATGATACATTGAAATGCTCTGTCAGTGCTACATAGCGGTGCACGGGAGCTGGTGGCCTGCTATTACCTTTTGCTTCTCCCTCATACATCTTATTTACCTTCTCTTGATAATGGCACAAAAACTGTATAATAGAGCACAAGAGGGCAAGAATATACGTGTTTTAAGTCTGTATTAGGCTTCTTTCATTTTATCACCTATTTGCTGATGTGATAGATTCTTGCTTTTATTATATAGACATATATTTATATTTTATTGCTGAACTTTGGCACTGAGATGAGTTTGCTGGGATTTCCTTGCATAGCTCTTGTTTTCTGTTTGTCAACCCACATCTCTTACTTTGCTGCTGGACACTGTAAGTTACTGAGTCGGGAGCCGTAGTTCATTGACAGCTGCGTTTGCAAATCAACATTCAGCTCTAACTTGGCTGGGCTGAAGAAACTGAGACTGTTGAAATTCCATGGAATCTTTGCTGTCTACACTTGGACATGGAACACTTGGAAGGGCTCAGAGTGCTTTCCCCGCTCGTTACTCACTACTGCTTTCTTGCTCTGAAACCTTCTGGTAAAGGATCAACATGGGGTTATGTTTCGTCCACACTGCTGTACCTTTATCATCCTCCTCCTGGAGCAGAATACCTGCAGTGCAAGTGTTGGCTTAGGAGGCAGGCAGTGCTGGCAATGCACTGTGCATTGTGGCTTTGAGGTCAGGGCAGAATTTGGTGGTGCATACAGTCATGTTAAAGGAGAGAGACAAGGATAATTGCTTGCTAGCTGTGGTAAGTAACATTCTGGAGGGAGACTTGAGGGAACATCAGCAAGTGGGTCTTGCTCTTATGCCTAAAGATTGGAGTGCAGCAGAGTTCAGAGGTAGCTGCTGGATGACTTGTCAAACGAACAGAATATTCAATGCTCTTTGCAGCCAACTGTAGTAGGCAGGTAAAGCTCCAAAGCATTCCTTGTGAAGGAGATATTTAGCAGAAAGTTAGAGAGACCGGTGCTTTTAGTCATGGGATGAAAGGAAGATTTTGGCATCGCTGGTCTTGGGAGATGACATCATAGTTTAGAGTAGAAAGGTTGAACTACAGTGGTAAGACAGGAGAAGGGCTTGTGTTACAGGTGTCCGCATCTGTTTTTAGAGGAGAATAAGATGTGCTTAGAGCAGCTTAATCCTGATGTCGGCTTTGTGATACTTTTCAGTTGTTCAGTTTTGGCAGTAGACTTAATTGGTGTTACGAACATAGGAACAGCTGTACTGCGGGAGTGCAAGAGAGGCCGGTGCCAAATGTTTGGAGAAGAATCTACGAGCGTGAGCCTAGGGTGGTATTTCCTGGAACAGGCTCTCAGGTTTCAGTGATCTGTGCCTCTATAGGCCTACCTGCCAGTGCATTATTAATATTTTTTAATGAAATTTATTCATGAATGTGTCTTTTCATGAGTCTGTATGAACTTACAGTATCAACAGTATCCTGATGCAAGGTGCTCTTCAGTTAAATTATGCATTATGCAAAGGTCCACATTTTTTTTGTCTTGAGCCTGTC